GGTGGGTGGGTGTGTCTGTGTGTAAATATTATATCAACATTTATGCCATTTGATGAATAGGCTACAAATTACAGTGTATAGATTGAACAATATTTTATATGACTTACCGTACCTAAAGTTAAAGACATTATGAAGCTAAAAGTAAAGTATCCAATTTCAGTAGTTGACCATAGTAGAGGCGGTCCAATGAAATACAGCATCATTGCAACCCCAAATGGGTTGATTAAAATCGATGTCATGAAACGAAGAATTAACCAAGAAATAATTCTGCAACGTCGGTCGTTGGTGTTGTTTTTGACAACTTGTATCATATCTGTCAAAACTTTTCCAACAGACGTTGCTGTTTGATTTTCCGTAACTGTTTCCTCGATAAAGTACATGATGTAAGGAACACTTAGAACCAGCATCACCGTCATGAACAGGAATGATGGTAGGAAACTTGAATACTCAATCCACAATGAGAATCCCAACTGGCCTAACGCTATGCCTAACATTGCGACACCTTGGAGAACTGACAATCGAAATGTCAAATTGTTTTTGCTTGCAGTATCACTGATATACGAAGAGGCACCAGAGCGTACAAGTGTAATGCTCCCTGAAAAACCTATCGCTATATTCCCTACCAACAGGTACTCGATTGGTAACACATAAACATAAACAATACTGTAATTAATCATTGCAACAATAAAACCAATAGTAGGCAATATCATAGTGATCTTTCTTCCTATTCGGTCGCTTAATGTAGAGACGTATAACGTAATAAGTAAAGCTGGAAATGTTTGACAAACAAGGAATATAGTGGTCCAGTTCGATACAATAACCTGGACATCCTCCACTGTATAACATGTTGATTCACTGCTATTAGACAAACACGTTGCATTTAGTTCCAATTGTACTATATGCTCGATGAAAAGTACTGCAAGGGTTGATGTTAGAGTCAGTGCCAGAGATGTGATTAGTACCACGCTTTCGACGTTTACAAGATATCGCGCCATAGTATCTTATGATGATATACAGAGATCAAGCAAATAAAATAGATATTTCCGTATAGCAATAATATTTAATGAACAATCCTGCCAATGCCACAAGGAGAATTCGTTCGATTAATATGGAGACATTATGGCATTTTAATAGTTTACTACTACAAAATCACAAGTCAAATACGACTATTCTTAGAACTAGGACTAAATGAGGTAGAAGACCTCGCTAATTTAACTAATGATACCGGTACATAATAATAGTGCAGGTAGAGTCTTGGTAGGGATGAATACATGAATTATAATTAACAATATAGGCCTATTGTTAATTTTATTAAATGATTTCAACAACGTACGCCCAAATAAAGTTAGACCTAAGTGAAGTTAAATAATCTTTGAAAATAACAGTTTAGTAAAAAATATTGTTTAGAATATTAATAAAATACTGTAATGTATATTTTACTCGTACTGTTTTAAAATTAAACAATTGAATGTACGGTCGATTCAATTTTAATTAAATCATTACTATTCATACCTAAAACCCAACTTATTAAATCCAAATTAAAACAAAATAATGAACACGCAGAGCAATAAATCCAAACACAAACTATTCCATCAAAGTCAAATTCAAACCATTAATTCCATTATTTTATACTGTTTAACGTTATTATTATATTAGTGGATAATTAGTGTGGTTTTGTTTTTGATTTTCTAATTTGCATGATCATTTAGTCCGTCTGGTTCTTGGCCGGAATATTTCAATTTTAATTTGAATACTGTACTTCCTATTCTGAATTGATAATTGACTTTTAATTGGATAGCTAATTAACGATAGCTAATTAGCGTATCAAAACGGGGACTGTGAAGAACAAAGAGTACGTCGATTGTAAATCCCAAATACACACGTCAGCTGGCGAAACTATCTCCGCTCTCCATTATAGTGCGCATTGGCGACGGATTGTCATTAAAAACGTGTCATTGCGCGCGCCTCGTCACATTTCGTTCTATCGCCAAAGACGATAGTGCGTGCCCGGCTTCTTACAGCAAAATTAAAACTAAATCTCTATCCATCTGATTTAGTTTCAATTGTAGTATACACCCAATGAAAAGTTAGTGAGTGTATACGGTATTAGTTAGTTCACGTATCAGCCATTAAGTTGGGTCCAATGTTTTTCAATTCTTTTTTGTCTTTGGACATCCTGTTACAAGCTTGGTATGCCATGCTACTCCATTCTTGTATGTTGTCAGACCATTTCTAGTGTGGTCTGCCTCTACAGTAGGTCTTTTCCCCTTGACTTTCCCTTCTGGGGCTCTTTTTGGATGACCTCCTTTTATACCGGTATAGTGATTAGGCCTATTGTACTATACATTGTACAGCCATGGAGCTAAACTACCGTAATTCCTCCATGGTACAGCGTACGGTACGATCGCAAGTTACTGCATCATTATATGCTATTATATTATAATGAAAATAACTTGTTTATATTTATAATATTTATATTTCTTTATGACGTTTTGTTTCATTAGGGTAGACCTCTCAATGAAAACACATTAAAACACTACAACAAAAGAATTAAACTATTCTTAGAAGCATCCCTTTTTTAATTAAATAACACTAAATATCTAAGTTGCATATTGAGAGCAGATTTAAAATGTTTATAGTTTTGTCGATGTCTTAATTCATACGGTAAATTGTTCCAGAGTGAACTTGTCATAGGCCTAGTATATAAAACATAGGCCTATATATTCCAAGCTTACATCTATGCAAATATAACAGATAAAGTTACATTAAACACAGACAAATTTATCTGCTCAGTGTACGTCAAAGACTTTGTTCGATAGGCATAACGGTACATTAACACATTACTTTTATGAGCACTCAATTATTCTATTTTCGTTTGACTAGTTTAAAAAATCTGTTGTCATCTAGATGCCAATTTATTAATTTACTTGTTACTCTTATAAATGACATACTGGCACCTAGGCTTTAATAATGTTCAGTGCGTTAATATCAAGTTGTAAAATTGTAATGATGAATCAAGTATAATGAGGTCATAGCC